GTTTTTATCAAACTAAGAAAGGAAAAATTCTTGATGCACACAGACCATACATTTTTGAAGGTTAATTTTAATTAAACCATGTCTTTAAATTTGACTAATGGTAAGGAAATGACTCCAAATATAGAATACATTAATTTACACATCACTTATGTAGGATGTAGTGAATTAAAAAGAATTACAAAAATTAATAAAATGTTTGAAAATTGATATTGAACAATATTAATAGAAATTAGGGGAAACTGGGCAAATGGCCTAAGTTTTTCTAAAATCCCGTCTACCGTCCTTACACCAACCATTCACAACATTAAGATGTCATCTGTCTAATATTGTGTGGATCGTCCTAAAAGCTCTGATGTTTTGGAGAATTAACATTGAACTACTGGGTATCCTGTGCTTTCTGGTCCTGTGGACTGTGAGGTGGGACACCTGTGGATCAGGTTCAGGTGGGAATGTGTGTCATTTGGAGGTCTGATTAAATCCTTAGACACCTAAGTTTATCAAATTATGCACAGTTTCTGAGGTGAGCCAAGCTGGTGGAATCTGATGCCAGTGAAAGGCTCTGTTGTCATTTGAGTGTGCTTGTTCTGCAACAGTAAGCAGATGTTTGGTACATGTCAATGTAAGATCCACACCAATGCCAAGATTTCCTAGCAGAATATGGCACTGTAACGTTATTCACTTCACCTGTCATTGGTTTATATGTTCTATTCTTTCAAATATAAGATCTTTGCTTCCATCTAGTGGTTATAAATCAGTATAAAGGCAATGGCTTTACAGATTTCAGAGGAAATGTGCAGAAATGACGAGGAACAGGTGAGAAGTCTCTGATTTAAACACGCAGAAAAACACTAACAGAAAAAAATTAATCACTGTCAGCAGAAATATGAGGCTGAAAAGGCAATGGCTGGAAAACCTATTTAAAAATAAATTTTAACGGAGTGTTAGCAATATAGCCAAAAGCAAAAAAAAAAGAACGAAAAAAAAGAAACTTACATTGTATTAGATTATCTGAGAAAAAACGTGTTTCAGATGTGAGCTGGTGTTTGGTACAAACTCCACCATACCAGTTGTGTCGCTATCGTATTATTTTGTCGTTTAACCTACAGCCAATAAATATAACGAAGAA